CATATGTGAGTGCTTGAGTGTTCATCTTTCAGTTTTGTTGTTGGCGGTGATTTGTTTTTGCTCTTTTGTTCTTCTCTTTTTTATTTTTTATTTTAAGGTGTGTCAATATATGTGTGAGGGTTCAATCTGAATTCCTTTTTTTGTTTGCTTTTGTTTTTGTAGTCATTCTCTTTTTCTTCTCCATTCATCTTGAGGTAGGCATGTGTGTGTGTGTTTAGTTTTCCTGGGTTTTTTGTTGTTGCTGTTTGTTTTGTTTCACATTGTTGTTATTCCAGTTTGTTTTGGGATATGTGTGTATGTCTTTGTGTTCAATTGTTTTTTGCTTTGATTCTGCTTTCATTGTTCTGTGGGTTGTCTTTTCTTTTTTTTTTTTCTTAATTCTTGTGCATCTTATTTCATTCTATTTTCCTCTGTTCACCTCATTGCTGTCACTGTATCTTGGACTTGGGTACACACATGTATCCACTGCATCTTCATATAGAGTGGCAGTGAGGAGTGGGTCTCAGGGAACATATACCACAGTGAACATTGTAATTTGCAAGTTGTTTCTGAATTCTGGCTCCCCACTTTCCACTTTATTTGACTCTCAAAACTACAAGAGACAGAAAAGCATCCCACCCACAGTCCTGTTTTAAAATCGAACAAATCCAGAGCCTGGATCAGGGAAGCATAGTGGGCTGAGTAAACATGAGAAGGGAAAGCCTCTTCCACTGACACTGAATAATGGAACTAAAGAGAAAAGCAAGAGATCTGTCACAAATGAGGAAAAACCAAAGGAAGACCACATGTAATTTCAAGTAACAAAGAGTAATCTCCTGGAAAATCAGACCTTGGAACCCAAACAATAGAAGTCACCAATGGCCGGCTCCGTGGCTCAGCCTATAATCCCGTGCCTTTGGGAGGCTGAGGTGAGTGAACTGCCTGAGCCCGCAGGTTCGAGACCCACCTGGGCAGCAAGACCTCATCTCTACAATAAATAAAAAAATCAGCTGGGCATGGTAGGCACACCTGTAATTCCGGCTACTCGGAAGGCTGAGGCAGAAGGATCGCCAAAGCCCAGCAGGCCGAGGCTGCGGTGGCCGGGAGCAGCCACTGCACTCCAGTCTGGGCGACAGAGTAAGACTTCAACTCAAAAAAAAAAAAAAGAAGTCACCAATGACTGGCCCCAGAGTATGATAGGGATTAGGAAATGAATGGAAAAAATGAATAAGACTCAAGAAAGACAAGATTCAACACTGAAAGAACTTATAACAGAGATTTCGGCAATAAAAAATTTCATCCAGTAAATAAATAACAAGATGACAAGCATGGAGAGCAGAATTAATCTAGCTGAATAAAGAATCTCAGAACTTGAAGACCAGAACATGGAATTAACCCAATCTGTAAAAAACATAGAAAGAAAACTCAGAAAGAAAGAACAAAGCCTACAAGAGATGTGCGATTATATCAAGAGGCCAAACCTATGCCTGATTGGTAACCCGGAGGAAGAAAAGGAAATAGAGAACCTGGAGTAAGTATTCTAGGAGGTAATCCAAGAAAACCTTCCCCATCTCACCAGAGATGTGACCAGCCAAATACAAGGATCATCAAATGAGAAGACCAAACCCTAGACACATAGTAATTCACCTACACCAAAACCCTAACTTTACCAAAAGAATCCAAATCACCAAAATAAGAGCCCAAATATGGGACAAAGAAGACAAAGATATCAAAGAAAACATCAACGAGCCGGGCTCGGTGGCTCAGCCTGGAATCCCGTGCCTTCGGGAGGCTGAGGTGAATGGATTGCCTAAGCCTGCGGGTTTGAGACCCGCCTGGGCAGTGAGACCTCATCTCTACAATAAA